AGTTAGAATAAAAGAGCAGAAAAAAGTGGTCGCTTTGAAAATGGAGCCTTCATTTTAACTTTTGCTGACAGATGACATTATGGAAAATTGTATCATTGACCGAACTTTTCCTTTCTGAGATTTGGCTTGTTTCCTACTTATATAATAACAACATCTCATGACGTCACAGTGCTGTCTTCGGGCTTGGTATGCATATTTTACTTATCTCGTGGTGAGTTAATCGCATTTCCAAAACATGCTTAGCTGCAGCAAAAATCCTGTGGATGCTACGATATAAAGATTTTCCAGCTAGATTACAGAACGAGTCATTGTTTCTCGTCCTTATCAATTAATGCTAAATGGCATCGTTCCACCAAATAAAGTTGTGCAGCTTCGCAGGACTATCCTTCTCTCTAAGACACCGAGTGGGCCATATCACATGACATTTCATCACTAATATCTTATCAGAGCCTCTGCCATCGTCCCGCTAACTATCACATGATCTACTCGAATGTGTCCTCTAAAATTAAAAAAATTTTATATTTTTATTCCCTTTCGCCTTACAGGACTTAGATCGCAGTGATGCAAAAATTACAGGGTGTCTTGCGTGGCAATGCTTTGTAGGATCTTGCATGAACATTCAAACTGTTGTGTTATATTTCTATAAACTGCTTGAGGGTTGAAAAAACTTTAACCGTTTACTCGTAAAAATTCATTTTGATTTCTTGCATTTTTCTTTCGGATTAAAATATTCCTATTATAGGTATATGAAAGCAACGTAATTTTGCAGCCATCACTCAAAGTTCCGATGATGGCCAGTATTGTTTGGTAAAAATTTTGGCAGTGGAATATACGCCAAACGCCACCCGGCAACGTTTACCTAGAGTTGTGGAGTCTTTACACTTTTACTCAGTTCTTTTGTCCACTTCGTGACAGATACACTGCCATTCATCTTCAAGACCAAGAAAGCATCTTTACTGTGTTCACAATTATTCTTCTAAGATGGAAGATGTCATTAATGAAAGACTTCTGGATAGCAGTGGCTAGGTGATTCGATTATCGATTTGAGATAGAAACATAATTCGTTAACAGTATAAAAAATATTGAAAAATTTGAAAGCTGACGCCTTTTAGTAGACATCCAGGATTCCGCCAAGGATGCCTGCTGCCTCACATTCTTATCATAATTTTTATGACTACATTAGCCGAGTGTAGCGCAGCACTGTGGAGTGAGAATGTTCCAGTTAATTGCCTGGGTTATGCAGATGATTTGGTAATGCTGATCTCCTCTAACACTCTTTTACAACGTTCATCTGATGGGGTAGAACGCAAGTGATGAGAAGCTGTTTTTTTTCCAAAACTAACACGTGTACTCTTTAGGCCTTTCAATGATTCAAGGTTATACTACTTAAAGTCAAACAAGGTCAGACTTATTTCAAGCAAAAGTAAAAGGAAGAACAAAAGCAAAACGCTGACAGAAACAATAAACTGAAATTTGCAGATACTGTTCATAATGAGTGACATCTAGATTGTGACGAAAATATATGAAAATGATTCGCGAGCCCAACTGGCTAAAAATGAAATTATTGATTCATAATTCTCAGATTTAAGAGAGGGTTCAAAGTGAATCAGCATTCAGAACAATTCGTGCTTGGTACAGCGTTAGAAAGTTCATGCGCTGTTGGGTCCTTAAAAATACCGCAGTATACTGTATCTTATGTTTAAAATTCGAAACATGCAGTTACATAAATTTTCATGTAAGTTGAAAATGCTAATTGCAACACCATGACTATTTGTGATATCCAAAGAATTGCTTAGTCAAAATACTGTACTCTGTAACATTTTTAAAGCAAAACATTGTCGAAAGCGGTAGTAGATTCTACATGACTACTATTCCAATGGGGAAAAAACTTTCAAAACTGTCAGTAAATAAATACACAGTATTACAAAATATTTTATCATCCGACTTGAGTGGAACTCGTAACTAGTTACATTACATTACCTGAGTTACATTTTGTCTTGACATCAGTTTCATTCAGTCACGATGATGCTACCGGGATCGGTAACAAAACGCGTTGATCGTGGAATAAAACCTTACCATTGTTGTTTTCGTTTGAATATCCTAAACATATACCACGAAATTTGTCAGTCAATCAAGTGTGGGTTCACAATAACTTTTCGAAAACAATTATCTAAAAATTGTAGAAAAACAGCTACTACTTTTAACTGCATCAGTTGTTACAACAAGTTTTGAATAGCAACATTATCATTCTGCGTAGCAATTTTTCAGCAATCGCGATATCAAAAACTGGGCGCGGCGCTGTTTTATCAATCAAGCAAAAGCAGCACTTATATAGAAAAGGTATAGCGTATACTCAGCCATGCTAGCCCACAAAATAACATTCCCGTTATGTTAAATTCTGTCTTTGTTGTACGCTATTACGTATGCGCTAATTTGACAATTGCTTCGATAATCTCGCAGCTGCTTTTTTTATTATGACTTTTGTGTTCGTTTACTCAAGCATTGAATGCCTTTGTGATTTCACTGCAGCCATAAAAGTACATAACTCTAACTACAGTCGAATCACTGGATTAAAGCCCAAAAAGAAATAACATTTCTTCATTTACGACAATCGACAAAAGGTAGTTAGTTGTTGCTGTTGTTAATATCTGGTATATTGTGATCATATGATTGACAGCGACCGATAAAATGCAGACGGTATTAGTATCGAAGCTACAATAGTAAAACTAATTAACTGAATGACTGATCTAAGAATTAACAAAGCTTAAATTGAAGAAATGTCTTGAATGATAAAGTATGATCTGACTGAAATCGTACATGATCACTTAAACAAACGTAATATTTATCGTCTCAAGAATTTATGCATCTGACTGCAGCTTCAAAGATTATACTGACACAAGACGCTTGCAGTGCGATGAAACTGCTCTTATATGAGGAAACTTGTGAACATCAGTCAATCACTTTCGACGACCGCTTCACCATTCGGGTTGCTGAGACAGACGCATCAGGCAGTGTCTGCAACGTTCCAGATCTTGTGCCAGCATCTGAGCTTCGGAAAATTTGTAGAAGAAATGGTAGAGAAAGTGCTCACGACGATTCAGGGCGAGGAAGGCGTCCAGGCTGTAAATCAAATATGAAAATTCAGATGACTGCAAGAAAAACAACCGACGACAAGAATCCCGAACCGAGATGTCACATACATAATAATAACATTTTCATAATTAATAAGACCGTCAAGAGCTGCACATGACAACGTCGGCATACCTGAATATTTGTCGACCGATTTCAAAATACAAATGAAGATGAAAAATTCCAGATATCTTGCCAGAAGTGCGATAAAGCAGTTAAAGGGAGGAATGGCTCCTGGCAAAGGCAACATTACAGTGGAGTTCGCGAAATCAACAGTTAAAGCATTGACGAAAATATCTGCTCGCTTATTTTCACTCTGCTTGAAGAAACTTAAGATTTCAGACGATTGGACTACCGCATCAGCAATTCAAATTTATAAAAATGGATAAACATAGGATTTAAAGAATTAATGGCCGATCAGTTTGTTACCAGTCACCTACAAGATCTTAACGAAAGCAGTGAGGAACTGACTCCAAGAAAAATTGGACGCTAAGCAGTCAAAGCAGCAAACAGGATTCAGAAATTCGTTTAGTACGATGAATCAACTGTAAGTGATACTGCAAGCAGTTTAGACAAGAAATGAATATCAGCCCTCTTCTCTGCTCTGCCTGGGGTTCGTCAATTCTGAGAAGGTTTTCGACACAACCTACGTCCGTTCTTCACTGGATTCCTTGCGGAAGCGGGGAATCGATGAACGACACGCGAGCATGTTCTCGATGATTTACAAAAATGCAGCTGCTAGTGTGAAACTTCAAGAAAACACAGACAAGTTCAAAATCGAAAAGGGCGCTCGATAGGGAGACGTAATATCATCAAAGTTCTTCACAGCAGCCCCAGAAAGGGTTTCAAGTTATTCGAATGAAAAAATCCGGGGCTGAACATAAATGAGCACTACTAAAGCTGCCTGAGGTTTATGGGCGACAGTCTGATCAAGGCCGCCAGAACTCAAAATTCAAAAAGAAGAATCCATGACTGGAAACGAACCTGAAGAAGGCTCAGTTCATGTTTAACAAACATGTGAAAGCGCGATTTGTTGAAATCAACTGAATTAAGCTTAAAGAAGAAAAATCTGTCTATCTGCGAAAACTCACCTCTGCAACGGAGAACCGATTATGCGAAATCAACAAAAGAATATAAATGGCATGAAGCACAATTGGAAGACTAATATTGTTCTCATCAAGAAAACTGCCCTTGTGCTTAAAATAAAAATCTTTTGATCAGTCTGTGTTCTCAGTGCGGGCCTGTGGGTTCGAAACGTGGACAAGCGTGAAAGTGGTTAATAAACTGCAGACTACGCAACGCAGCATGGAAAGTTGTGCTGGGAATGGCCAGAAAAAATAGGCAGACGAATAATGGAGAGGAGGACAAATATGAGTATGCGATGTCATTGTCCTGGAACAAGCTGAAGTGGCTATGAGCAAGACGTTGCAAGACAGATATGTTGCAAGACGGAATGACCGCCGCTGCACCAGACTGACATTCCAATGAGTTCCAAGAGAGAACAAACGGCCGTAGGACGACCTGCAGATCGATTGCAAGGTGAGTTGAAGAAGTTCGTTGGATCAACATGGATGAAGAGGACAGAAATCAGACTTCTATGGCCGTTTCGGAGGCCTTCATCCAACAGTGGATCGAAAAATACTAGTACGATTTGAGATGCAAACAGCATCGCTACACTGACAAACGGCCCAGCTTCAAAAGTGATCTACAACGAGACTAAAAAAATATCACCATGACAGTCACTCGGACACTCAACGTGAGTATGTACTGTTATAAAACGTTCACTTTGTAACATTACACCAGTTAGACATCGTCATTAAATAAGCAGTTTATTTTCAGTCACGAAACCACACCTGAACGAAATGTGACACATGCTGAACAAATCTTTACTCGATATCTTCTGGTCTGACCGGCTGCTTCCTCGGTATTACAGATATCTTGTCGACATCCATCGGAAGAGCTTTACGCATGTCGAACGCGTCTTCGTCCGGGTCCCCAGAGTAGTAACCCAGCACTCGACGGTACACGATATAGCCGAGCTTGTGATACATTTCAACGGCAACCTTGTTGCTGACCCTGACGTACAGGTCAACGAAGTAACAGCCTTTCTTTTCCGAAATGGATTCCAGCGCCGTCATCAGCTGTGCAGCGATGCCTAGCCGACGATACTCAGGACACACTGAAAGCGCGGTTACATGGCCATGGAAATTTTGGTCGCGCCCTTCGGATTTTCCCATGATGTAGCCCATCAGCTCACGATTTGGACCTTCGGCGGCAAGAAAGTATTCAGGCCAGTGCGCCAGGTACTGCATATAAAAGTTGACGCTATACGTTTCCGTAAGAGGATCCAAGTTTACTCTGTTGAACTTCAGCAAGTCTTCGCATCGAAACGGTCGAATCAAAGTCATTCTTTAACTCAGATACAAGCATTAGACTAAAGTAGAAACGCTAACGAGCGCCGCAGAGAGCGACTCACGGCAAAAAGTTACGCTGCATTGTACTGTAGATCCGCAGGATTATCCGTGACGATGGTGTTTCTAATATTATTTCACGGAAGAATACCAAACTACCGCTAAGAGCAGCAATCCTGTTTTAGAGGACATTAATTGACTTTTCAGTTGGAAACGCGTTCGAACAACACAATCTTTGACAAATTTGCCAAGAAATACAGCAAAAGTCTGGACTCAAGCCAAATAACGTTTGCAAGATTCATTCAGTCATGGAATTGAACAGTATTCACTTTATTGAATAATTTGTATTCAAGTAGAAAACGCAAAGCATACATTTCATTCAATAAACTTTTTACGAAATCGAATTACCAAACAGTTTCTTGTTCCCATTGAAATTTACTGTATGTCGTTCACTATAAAATTTATAACTGATATCGTGTTATACCAAAAAATCTTCATTTCTCTGACGTTTCGATTTAAATTACAATAGCACAAAAATCAGCAATAATCGCTTATATTTTTAATAAATAGGGGATCGTTGTTTGTAGATGATACAATTACAGTTTGGTCCGGGCGATGACACACAAACAAGTTTCATAATTTCCTGTTCCAATGACGTGACAAAATAATTAAAGATGGGTAGCGCGTTAATTGCATGATTGAAAGTTTGTATCCCGTTCAGTAAATGTGCCGATAAAACATCTTTTCAAAACAAATAGTTTCGAACGATAGTAGAGCCAGAAAATAAAAGCTTTATTTACCGCCGAGCTTTCAGAAACTTTGAACAGACAAATACAGTTATTTATTGTCAGACTGATAAGAGGCACCCTATCACAGTTTCTAAATATTTGTGGTAAAACCCTTACCCCTCTTGGGTTTAATTAACGCTTGTGAAAGCTTACTTTTCGCTATCGTCAAGCGAGGAGTTCTAGAAGTGAAGATTATTTTTCCTTGCGCATCTTTATGAATGTTCTTTATAAATGTTAGATATTAAAGGGCTCTGTGTTATGCTGTTGGTCACTGAACAGAGTTTGTCGTACAAATGAATGGCCGTGGTTACTTGGTTCCGTGGCAACAACGCTACGATAGTCCGGCGACTTTACCACACCTAACGTTAACAAGGCTCAATGACGACCCTAGTGTGCTTAACCGTTAAATAACCCTGCTGATAAACCCATAAGGTTTCAGTCGAGTTTAAATCCTGAAAATGGTAGTGTTAAGGTACTAAGTTGGCATCTAGATGCCACCTTATTATATAAGGAATAACCAATCTGAAAAATGCAGCCAAAAATGAACTGGGTCAGAGCCGCAACTACTGCGATTCACTAACCGTTAATGACTAAACGAAACATTACAGTGATTAGAACGGACAACCAATGATAAAAAAGTTATACGTAAATTTAAACTATGACCTGAGGGAGCAAGACTAGCGGTGGCTCTGCATAGACGAAACATCCATATAAAACGCATAGAGAAAAAAATTTTTGACATGAACAATTGTCGCTGCGTCTCATCCTATCACACAGATTGCATTTGACTCGAACCGCGTTTGTCTGCTGAACTTACCTGTATACCCAACTCATCTTTGGATTTGATTCTCTGTTTTGCATTATAACTCTATCCCTTTCAAATGTAAATTCCTTTCCCTAATTCAAAAGCTGACTGTCCAGTAACCCCTGATTGTTCACATTTTTCATTACATTAATGAATTTAGTAGGCTTTACAGAATTCAATTTGAACCTCTGCTATTTAAGGCACGTCGCTAAACAATCTGAACCGGCCGGTAAATGGTGACGAATCGCACCCATCGTAACATGCCCGCTATTCCTCGCGGTTTCAAGCATTCGCAGTTACTGATAAAATCTTTCCACTGTCTGATGGGTGACCGAACGGCCTAGTCCACTCATGAGGGAGCCAGTCGACGCGCATTGCCGAATATCTCCCATCGGTGAGGATAGCTACTTGCTCATTCCACCACAGCTTCTTCCTTCTGCTTTAAACAACGATGTCGATAACTCCGTCCGCTGTCTGATCACCATGTTGCGGATGTGGTCGCGAAGTGGCACTCTTCTCTCCACTGTTCTCTCAGTGACAGATAACTGGCGTTTTTCGGTCTTCGTGAATGACCACGTCTCACAATCTGCAACATCGAGGGCAGAACGATAGTATCTTCCTGATATTACCGAGCAAGACGTCCTTGATGGAATGGAATGAGCGTAAACCAGTCCACTTTTTCAATGGAATTTCTCCAGACCGATTTACCGCATGTCGAACGCGAAACAAAAGTTGAGAAACGGAAAACAATTAAATGCATAAATAAAATGCTGAAATAGTGTCCACTAACAAAGCTACAAACTGAACAACCACTGAGCCATTTTGGATCCAAAATGCACAAGTCCAAAACACAATGCTGATTTTGGTGTCGCCTGTTATTGGAGCCAATTAATACGGTTTATGAAAAATCGCGTTCATGTCAATTAAACACATGCGCTGCATAATATCAGACCAATATGGCATTACATTGCATTTGACATGATTCAGTCACGCAAAACAATAAGTTAATCTGAAGACTGACTACCCACCTTTCGCCCCTAATTCACTGGTCTTCTTCAACTTGAAAAAGCTGGTGATCTATGGTTGGTGTGGATGTTATACTCTGCAGCTGGTTCACTTCAAACCATGACGTCGCATGGCGCATGACGAATTGTATTATCAGTGGAGGAAAAAAATTTTAACTTTTAAGATGTCAGTTTCTGTTATATTGCCATAATAAGTATTATTACTGGCATTCTTTTTTGGATGAAACTGATGATCAATCTTTGGCGAGAAAAAATCCATTTCAATGTCAACAGTTTGAGTACCTTATTTTTCATTTGAATAGAATACCTGCGATTACTACAAAAAGTTCTCTTCCTTCCAACATACGGTTCATTTATCAAGGCCAGAAGGAAGAAAGTCAGGGATGCGAAAGGAGTTCGAATCCGCAATTTTCGATTGCTCGTTAAGCATCGTATCAACTGGTTCACCCTGAGATAAATGCAAAATATGTTATTCTGATGTAACATCAAAATATTTTCGTACGAGGAGTATCTTAAATAGCCACGATCAGACGTCATATCGTCTATCGTGTATCACCCCTTGCGCTTGACTGTCAGGGAGCAATTTGGGAAGGTCATCTTCAGCGATGCAATGCGCCGTGAAATCTGATCTTGGAGGAGTCATGTTAGATAGTATTTAACTTTATAGAGATGCTAAATTTGCTGTTGTATATATCCTTTCCGACTTTATTCATCCTGACCATCATAGTGAACAGTGTCTATTAGGTTCAAAGCTTCAACCTACAAATATAATCTGTTTACTTTCTTGATGCATTTTTTCACCAAACCAGATTTCCTATTCACGGTAATATTCTGTGGGTATTGAATCGACGTGAATTTAAAAATTGTCCTGTTATTGGCAAATTTTCGCACATGTGCTAGTTCCCTAAAACGTGCAGCCCATAAAGTCAGTGAGACTTTTCTAAATTCCAAAAGCAGCCCAAGGCAAAAGATTTCCTATATATGCATCGAGACACCGTAACTATTTGACTAACTATTGACTTTCTTCTTTTTACCGTTACTGCAATCTCGTTTAATTCCGATTCATATGGTGTGCTACAACGAAGCACAGAGGTTGGATTATGGAGAGCAACATGATAACCATCAAATATAGAAAGGACGTTTCGACGCATACACGGAATGGTATTCAATTAATGGCAACGTCAGGACTTCTGAAATGTTAAAGCATTTGATACGCTACAAATCATTTAACGCCATAACAACTGATGAGTATCGACGAACACCAGTCAAGCTTAGGAAACAGAGCCTTGTACATCAATCGGCCCAAGTCAAAATTCATAGAAAGCACAGGGATCGAATAACACCACAGAGAAGCGTCACACATTCACTGACCGGAGTGCATCGGTATCGTCAGCGATTGAAATTTGGCAGGCTCGTTGAACAGTCGTTCACTGATTAGGTAGCTTTGTGACAATATCAATCGCGATCTCTTCACAATTGGATTAACCTGTAGCATGGAGTCACAAAGAAAGAATTAAAGCATCAGCATAGTC